CTGCAAACCGCGTGCTCCGGCGGCCTCTGTGAGCGGCGTTTTTTCTTTCGCGGCTCGACTAGAGGAGATGGCAGCACGGAAGAGGTGGGCTCTTTCGCGGTGAAAACGGCGAAGCGAGCGCGCAGCTCGGTGAGGCCCAGGGCGTCACACTCGGGACATCCACCTCGAGTAAGGGCAGCCTCTGCGTGGTCCGGTCCCAAGCAGCGGGCGCAGATGATGTGACGATCCCCGTCCTGAAGAGGGCCTCGACACGAGGCGCAGGAAGGCATTTGAAACAACGCCTTGGAAATTTGACTCTTTTAGAAAAAGTGTCGCGGGGGCGAACACTGATAGCTTTGTAAAAGGATATAGATGGTGCGCGCCGGATGGCTTAGCAGAAGGGCGATCGAAGGCGGCTGAAGGCGCCGGCGTCCTCGAAGCAGTCCTGCTGTAGGCTTGTCGACGGCGGCGGCGAAAAGACTCCAACAAATCCGGAGGATCCAGCGAAGAGAAGGTTCTTTGCTGAAGGAGATTAAATCTAAAGAACTCAGACGACGGGGCGCCCAATATATAGCCCTTGGCCACGCCCATCTTGGCGGGCTCTGACGCGCGTGGGCGCGAAGCACGCTCATTGGAAGCGGGTTCAGAGTCGCCCCGTCATTGGTTCGTGCAAGTTGCCGCAGCACAGCCAATGACCGAGCTGCCTCGCTCATTGCTGTATGCTGTGCAGCTGCAATGCGTTTTACATAAAGACTTCAATATTTCTCGAGAAAAGGAGTTTTCCCATAGCGTAAAGCTATTACGCAATAGGAGGAACCTCTCGAAAGGGAACTCCGGATGCTCACGTGCAGCGCGATTCACCGACAGGTCCGACAGCATAAGCTCACCGTGGCTAGCTATCTCGGCTACCTCCGATCACGCGGCCGCTCATTCTCTCCCGCTCCATCAGACGGGTCTCCGGCTTCGTTTCTCCTCACTCAGTCGCTCGCTCAACACCCCAAGTCCACGATCCCCTTATCGAAACGCCCCACTCAGTTTCATCGGCTTTACTCACTGTTTCTAGCGTTATATTTGTCGCCAACGCGGCCGCCCTGTGCTCCACACTCTTCAGCCGGAAGCCGGGGAAAAACTAAACCAAAACCCAAAAACTTCCCCCCTCGCTCTCACTGTTTCTCTCTCGGTCACGTGTATCCGTTGTCATACCGACAGCCAAACACTATTGACTATACAGCAATAATACCCCAAAACTAATAAAAACAGCAACATGAAAACAAGAATAGGGTAATAACAGCCCTTATGTATGAAACCTCTGATAATATTATTTAGCTAAATAATATAAACTTTAAACTTTAATTTTAATCACTGTCATGAAATAAAATCACACATCTTGATCTCCTTGTAATGTAAAATGAATTGAATATTTCCTTCTTTAAAAATCAGTGTCTCCTATTATTTATTTAAAGTAAATAAACGTTTACTTTAACAGTCATAAGACTAATTTGAGTAAGAGAGATTAATATAACCCACTCCGTTACCATTACACTAATAGCCTAGTTTACCACTGGGCTACATGTGTTTTTATTTAGAACCTGTTCCTTTACATGGTTAGATAGCTAAGACCTTTCTCTGCAGAAACATACAACTCTAATTGATATAGTGTGTATTTTTTTTTAAAGTTTTTTAAAACGTGTTTTGTCCCGACTCTCAAGAATCAGTGATTCAAACCTTCTTCTGTAAACATAATATACTTGAATTAATGTACAATACTTGCAATGTCGCCCCCACCGACACAACGCATAGTATTGCGTGCATCGTGCATCGTGTCTCAAAAACTAGGGCACATTTGGCTATGCATCGACGCATAATGGCGGCCGAAGCGTAGCGATGCGTAGCCTTGCAGACGCGTATGTGTAACGATCATAGAGGTAATGGGTGCTTCTCATTTCTTATTTGTGCATCCTCGTTTCCTTTCCTCGCTTCCTTTCCTCGCGTCTCAGCTCCACCCCCTGTAGGACGCGAGGGAAGGCTGCAAGGAAAGAAAATGAGGACAGAGGAATCGAATGAAAGTTTTTTTATACATTGGAATACTTGATCACTCGAGCGTCACTTCACTGCGTCATCAGCAGCGCTCAAAGGATCTGCCCTTATGTTGTTGAAGTTTGGTTATTTAAGAAATTAGTAATAAATAATAATAAAGCAATATACCCTGTTGAAATATGTGAGATGTGTGGTTTATTTAAACTGCAATGGTAAAGTATAAATTAAAATGATTGTGACCGACGTGAAGGGGGAGGAGAATTTATACGTGCGTCACGTTTAGTCGGTAAAACACTTCCGCAAAGCATGCAACTGTGCATCCTCGCTCATAGCTCCTAGCTAGGAGTGAGGAGGCTTCCAGAGGAGCTATGAGGGAGGATACACAGGTGTACCCTTTGCGGAAGAGTTTTATCGACTAAACATGACGCACGTATCAATTCTCCTCCCCCTTCACATCTGTCACAATCATTTGAATTTATACTTTACTTTTGTAGTTTACATAAACCACACAACTCACATATTTCAACAAGGTATCTTGCTTTATTATTATTTATTATGAATTTCTTAAATAAACAAACCTTAACAACATAAGGGCAAATCCTTTGAGCGCAGCTGATGACGCAGTGAAGTGACGCTCGAGTGATCAAGTATTCCAATGTATCAAAAAGCTTTCATTCAATTCCTCCGTCCTCGTTTTTTTTTCCTTGCAGCCTTCCCTCGCGTCCTACAGGGGGTGGAGCTGAGACACGAGGAAAGGAAGCGAGGAAAGGAAATGAGGATGCACAAATAAGAAATGAGAAGCACCCTATGTAACCCCTGCTAGGGGGTGCTTCTCATTTCTTATTTGTGCATCCTCGTTTCCTTTCCTCGCGTCTCAGCTCCACCCCCTGCAGGAATTGAATGAAAGCTTTTTTATACATTGGAATACTTGATCACTCGAGCGTCACTTCACTGCGTCATCAGCAGTGCTCAAAGGATCTGCCCTTATGTTGTTAAAGTTTGTTTATTTAAGAAATTAATAATAACTAATAATAAAGCAAGATACCTTGTTGACCTATGTGAGTTGTGTGGTTTATGTAAACTACAAAAGTAAAGTATAAATTCAAATGATTGTGAGTCTGTGACAGATGTGAAGGGGGAGGAGAATTGATACATGCGTCATGTTTCACGAGTTCACACTTACAAATAAGTCAGATAGAATAAATGCATATTTGGCGTGCTGTCCGAGGAGAGGGCTCCGGGCTCGGTATGCGGCCCGAACCCATAGTACTCCCCCCGTTCCTGACTGTGGAAGAATGAGCCAGGAGTGAGGAGTCGGGGTGGTGGAGGGATGCTGAAACTGTCAAGGAATGTTGGTGAGTTGACAGTGGATATTTATATATGCTTCCTCTCGTGCTGATAGGGTAGACATGTAATAGTTTGGTGACGAGTTGATTGGAATGATTTATTTGAACGTGTTCCTCCTGAACCTTGTTTATAAAACATCATTTCACGAGTTCACACTTACAAATAAGTCAGATAGAATAAATGCATATTTGGCGTGCTGTCCGAGGAGAGGGCTCCGGGCTCGGTATGCGGCCCGAACCCATAGTACTCCCCCAAAAACTGTGAAATAAAATGCAGGACAGCCGCCAGAATGATGCTGATGACCCCCCAAAAACTTGTGAAATGTAAAGCTCAAGATATCAGCTGCGGGAAGAGGTGGTTGCTGGGAGGTTTCTTTTAACGTAGGACGGGAGTAGGTTGACTTGGAGTTGGATGGGTGTGCCTCTTGGGTGGAAGGTTGTAAATGGTGCAGGGACGGAGGAGGATGGTATGGCTGATACGGTGGAAATAAGGTGGATGGAAAAGAAGGAGAAGACACCACTGCGGCAGTGGATCGGACTTCTTTGGTAAACGGAACTCCTGCGGGAGAGGAGTGCACGACACTGCTGCGGCAGTGGACCAGACTTGCTTTAAGTTAATGGAGCTCCTGCGGGAGCGGAGTAGATGGCACTGCTGCGGCAGTGGAGCAAGCTGGATGGAGTAACAGAGCTCCTGCGGGAGCGGAGTGCACGAAACTGCTGCGGCAGTGGACCAGACTTGCTTGAAATAATGGGGCTCCTGCGGGAGCGGAGTAGATGACACTGCTGCGGCAGTGGAGCAAGCTGGATGGAGTAACAGAGCTCATGCGGGAGCGGGGTGCACGACACTGCTGCGGTAGTGGACCAACCTTGCTTTAGGTAACTGGAGCTCCTGCGGGAGCGGAGTAGATGACACTGCTGCGGCAGTGAAGCAAGTTGGATGGAGTAACGGAGCTCCTGCGGGAGCGGAGTGTACGACACTGCTGCGGCAGTGGACCAGACTTTCTTTAGGTTGGTGGAGCTCCTGCGGGAGCGAAGTAGATGGTACTGCTGCGGCAGTGGAGCAAGCTGGATGGAGTAACAGAGCTCCTGCGGGAGCGGAGTGCACGACACTGCTGCGGCAGTGGACCAGACTTGCTTTAAGTTAATGGAGCTCCTGCGGGAGCGGAGTAGATGGCACTGCTGCGGCGGTGGAGCAAGCTGGATGGAGTAACAGAGCTCCTGCGGGAGCGGAGTGCACGACACTGCTGCGGCAGTGGACCAGACTTGCTTTAAGTTAATGGAGCTCCTGCGGGAGCGGAGTAGATGGCACTGCTGCGGCAGTGGAGCAAGCTGGATGGAGTAACAGAGCTCCTGCGGGAGCGGAGTGCACGACACTGCTGCGGCAGTGGACCAGACTTGCTTGAAATAATGGGGCTCCTGCGGGAGCGGAGTAGATGACACTGCTGAGGCAGTGGAGCAAGTTGGATGGAGAAATGGAGCTCCTGCGGGAGCGGGGTAGATGACACTGCTGCGGCAGTGGATCAGACATTGGTCGAGTTAATGGAGTTCCTGCGGGCGGAGTAGAGGGTGCTGCTGCAACGATAGATGGACTTGCCTTTGGGTTGCTTCCTGGGATCCTATGGTAGGTTGAGAGGACGTTTAGCTGAGTAGGGATCGTTGGGCTTCTTTGGTATGGAGGTGGTTAGAACGGATGTAACTCTTAAAGGCCTCCGACGACCAGCGGCCGAGCTCTTGGATTTGCTGCTGGGAAAGGCCTTTTTGGGCAGCTGTGGTTGCTGCACCTATGCGGAATGAATGGCTGGAAAAATTATTTGCTGGGATGTTTGCTTGGAGTAAGATGGATTTGAGATGTTTTTGGAACCAGAAACGTGTAACGGGGCGATTGAAATTGTCGGTGAAGAGTGGGTCGGAAGGGGACTTGGTCTGAGAGTTTCTGAATTGTGAGTACGCGAAGAGAGTTTGGTATGGTTGGATTGGTGATTGGAGATTGAAGATGTATATGAAGTGGCCTTTTTTCATTTGGTCTGTCTTGCTTTGTTTGATGAAGTAAGAAATTGTTTCGTTGTCTAATACTGAAAGATCTGAGATTGTGGGATGGACTTTAGGGTTGAAGTTGGAAGTGATGGTGAGTTCTGAGCATCTGAGGAAACCGAAGAAAGCCAATATGAACATGTCATCCAGTGTGCGGGCGGTGTTGGTGGAGTGGTAGCCTCGGCGGAGGGTAGAGATACATTTGGTGAGTATGTCCAAGGTTATTGGTTGTCTGGCATCTGGACGGGTTGGTTGGGTTTTTTGGATGCCTTTGATAAGCATTGATGTCTGGGAATTTGCTATGTCTGCGGAGGGTGAACCAAAAAGGAGTTTGTGGAAGAATTGGATTCGGCTTAGATACCCCTTGATGGAGCAGGCTTTGAGGTTCTTGGTGCTGTCCAGATAGGATATAAATGAAGTGATGTTGAGCAGAGAAAAACTGGGAAAAGGCTGGTTGAATGTGAAGTGGAAAGACTTAAAACACTTCCATGCAGTTAGGTAGGATTGGAGGGTATTGGGTGAAACGGCTTGCAGAATGGAGTTAAGAGAGGCATCTAGAAGTGGTTTCAATGGATGGTTTATGGGAATATTAACTCTGAATAGTGAGGTACTAGGGTTGGGCATGGGTCCGCCTCTGGTGCCAACAGCCTGAATTTCTGGAAAGCAAAACGAGAGAGAGAGTCAGCTATTTGATTTTTGGACCCAGGAACATGTTTTGCAGTTAAGATGAACTGGTCGCAAGCTGCGATCCAAATGAGGCGTCTTAGGAGAGGCATTAAAGCGGGGGAATTTGAGCGGCCTTTGTTGATGCAATGCACGGTTGCTTCATTATCACAGTGTACCATGATGCTGTTAGTCGACCATTCTTTGCCCCACAAGAAGGCTGCTACCACTAAAGGATACAACTCGAATAATGCTGAGGATGTTAGTGATTGTGGTAAATCTAACAACTGGGCTGGCCATGTAGACGCGAACCAACGACCTTGGTAGAAACCTCCGAAACCAACGGAAGGAGCTGCATCTGTGAACAGTTGGATATCCGTAGGGAGAGAAATCAGATTATTATAGAAAAAAGACAGGCCGTTCCATTGTTTAAGGAATGTTATCGATAAACTGAGCTCGTTGCTACATGAAGTAGTTAGGGAGATTTGGTCCTCTAGCTCGTGAACTGATGATGCAAGGAAGAGGAGATGTGAGATGAAAGGGAGACCTTGTGGGATAATGCGCATCGCAAAGTTTAAATGGCCGAGCAGAGATAGAAGCTCTCGTTTAGAGCAATTTGGATTTTCTAGAAGGGTGGATGCGACCAGAATAATCCTGTCGATTTTTTCCTTGGGTAGTGAGGCCTGGAAGTTGATTGTGTCCAATTTATTGCCCAGGAATTTGATGGATGTGGCTGGACCCATGGTTTTTTCTTGGGCGATTGGAATCCCGAGCTCGCTGAAGACTTTTTGGACTGTGAGAAGATGTGCGGCTGGGATGGATTCAGGCGGAGAGATGATCAGGAAATCGTCTAGCAAGTGGATTAGGTAGGGTATCGAGTAGTTATTGGAAAGAATCCAACAAATAGCCTCTGATAGCATGTCGAAAATTTTGGGGCTACTTTTGCAGCCGAAAGTTAAACGGACAGAAAAATAAAATTTTCCTTGCCATCGTACGCCGAACAAATGCCACGAATCCGGGTTGATGGGCATCACTTTAAAGGCAGAGGTGATGTCAACTTTAGCAAGCCAAGCGCCGTAACCTGCGTCTTTAATCAACGTTATGGCTTGATCAATGGTTTGGTAATGAAGAGAAAATTGTTCGAGCGAGATGAGGCTGTTAATGCTTGGAAACGGAGAATTATGGGGGGCTGAAAGATCGATTATAAGGCGTTTTTTGCTTGAAAATTTCCTGGTGGCCACTCCAATTGGGCTGATACGGAAATGTTCAAAAGGAGGAATGTCAAAAGGACCAATCATAAAGCCCGATTCGATTTCTTTTTTAATCAAGGTGTCGACTGTGTCAGGTTCGGCGAAAGCAGATTGGAGATGATCACATATGATACTCTGTGTGGGGAGGCTTTCGACGCCCGGATTAAAGCCATGCTCGAGACCAGACAGTAAATAGTCCTTAAAATCAGTGTTAGGGTGGTGGGATAATTCAGAAGACAGACGGGAAAAATTCACAGGAGTCGATAAGTAGTTTTTTGAATCTTTATTTACGGACCTTTTGACAGGGCATATAGTGCGCGCGTGCGCGCCGCCACAGTAGCTGCAAATATGTAAAAAACGGCAGCGTTGCCTTAGGCAACGCCCCGCATTGAAATTATTGCAGGCTTGGTTGTTGGATGGGAATGAGATCTTTCTTCTTTGGGAATCCGTAGCTGAGTCGTTGGGATTAAAGTTTGCTGGTCGCGGGACATAACTGGTTGATTTTCCAGCTGCTGAATCTGGGCGGGGAGGATTTTCGAGGTTAATCAAAGGACAAGCTGTGGTGGAATGAGAGACGGATCTGCAAAACTGCGCAGGATATGTTGCGGCAGCCTAAGAACACTCTGTTGTGTAGCTCTGTTTCAAGGGCTCCCCAGTAAGGGCACTGGTTCCACTGAGCTACACGGACGGCGCATTTTGCTGAGAACAATTTGTGGTAAGTGTAAAAATGTGTTCCTCCATATGACAACGCAAGCTCTGCAATTATCGCGAGATAGTCGTTCAGTTCTCGTCTTCTGTGGGGGAGTGCGGCGCAAATGATTTCGCTATACCGGCTGAAAGCAATTGCGAATTCGGAAAATGACAGGATGCGGGATGAATTGTGAACTGGGTTTTTCAAGGTGACTGCAAAATCGCCGCAATCGATTTGCCTAATTGAAACAGAGGAAGGGAGGATAGATAGAAGAGAGGATAAATCAATATCCGCACCTGTGAGTATCTGGGCTCTGATGTTGTTGGTCACGAGGGGAGGTTCCATAGCTGTAGGAATAGCGGCGGAATCTGGGGCGCGGCCCAGGCTAGCTGAAGGCCTGCTGTGGCCTGGCGCTCGCGTAGAACTGGGCCCTGCGGCGTCGGGAGAAGGAGTTTTCTGAAAACGTGAGTTTGATGTTTTGTTACTTGCCTTTTTTGCTGTTTTTGAAGGTGGAGTGGATTTCGGAGAAGGGAAAGCTGCCTGGAGAGAAACATACAAGTTGTACAGTTGCGATTTGTTCATCCTCCTAGAAAAATGAACGTCAGCGCTGATTAGCGCCTGTCTCAGCCCCAGCACTGTCCATTTCTCGATTGCCGGAATATTGGGTTGTGCTGAGGTGTAGGAGGAAGCTGGAGATGGTGGAGGTCTTGATGGTGGAGGTGAGGGCAAACCACGGCGCCTCGGGGTACGAGAGGCGGCTCGGCTAGGCCGGCGGCCGCGCCGTGAAGCTGGAGGTTCGGGAGCGGTATCCTGTTGAGCCTTGGAACTCGTAGCGGTGATAGGGAGCTGAGATGGAGCCTGGCTGATGAAGGAGTCGTCATCGGAAGGGTAGAGTTCAATCTCTGACATTGTGGCAAAAGGGCGGGACCAAATGCTGAAACTGTCAAGGAATGTTAGGTGAGTTGACAGTGGATATTTATATATGCTTCCTCTCGTGCTGATAGGGTAGACATGTAATAGTTTGGTGACGAGTTGATTGGAATGATTTATTTGAACGTGCTCCTCCCGAACCTTGTTTATAAAACATCATTTAGTCAATAAAACTCTTCCGCAAAGGGTACACCTGTGTATCCTCGCTTATAGCTCCTCTGGAAGCCTCCTCACTCCTCGATCCTCGCCTCCTCGCGGTGCAATTAGAGAATTGAGATGTCCTTCAAGATGGCTGAGCTCGATTGGTTTCCGGGTCATAGGATGGAGGACGGAGGAGCGAGGAGACGAGGAGGGATATTGAGAAGCACCCCTGGTCTTCGTCAACAACACGCGCTTGCATGCTTGCACCCGCTTGCACCCCCTGCCGGTGAGGTCGACTAGACTAACAGCAGATGGAGATTATGCTCTTTATAATTTAGATTTTAATCAACTGCTTTTCCTGCAGTTCCTGGATGTTGAATTTACTGTCGAATTTGAACCACTGAATTTGTGGAAGCAAATTTGTAAAGTGAAATAAAATGGACCGAAAATCGCCTGTTGAATATTATAGGTTGTATTTTTAAACAGTTTAAATATTTAGGAAGTGAAATATGAAAGGTGAATATGGATTATTGCATTTTTAATAATGAAAATGTGTTTGAAATGTTTTGAATTGAAATATTTACAGATTAATATTCATGTTGAATTTCAGCCAATAAAACATGCAAGTCTTAAAAATACAATGCATTAAAATGGAAGCATGGTTAATGCAATGCATATTTTTTTTTTCAAGTAGTGCAATTCAACAGGCTTTTTTGTTTAAAAAAATATTTGGCATTATTTTACTTCCATACTTTTTAAGTAGTAGGCTAGTAAGTAACTTAAGGCTGGAATAGGCCTACACGACTTTTAAAACCTGAGCAAAAGTCGTGTAGTGTATTCCAGCCTTTACCCAACATTACCCCCAGAAAACTTGGAATATAAAATAGGCCTACGACATGTGTTGCATCATTCTGTGATACTTTTGCGTCTTTTAAAAAAAGCTTGATACTGGTCGCTATTCATTCATTACCTTTTTTTTATTCTCCTTTTGTGGTTTATAAAAAGAAGGGCATACGGCATTAACAACCTGGGAAACATTGTAGTCCTAATAAAGGCGTGTTTTAACAAAAATAATAACTGTTATTTAATGAAATATCAACACGTTTGATATCTTATAAGAACGCCATTGTATTTTTTTATTATGTAGGCCTAGATTAGAAATAGTTTTACCGCAAAAAAAAAGTCAGTAAGACGTTTTTTTATATAATATTGATACCATTTTTTTTTTTTTTTACTTTTTAAGTATTATTATTTTTTACTAAAAATAGTATTTTTACTAAAATACTGACAAGCATTGGAAAACAGTGTGTGAGCGTCATCTATTGGCAGATGCCTGGATGTGTATTACACAAACTGGTAACAGCTTAGGTTACTACTTTCACTTTCTCAACGCAGAACAAGGAAACGCTTCGGTATCAGATCGTCACAGATCGTTGTATGTTTCCATGTGCGTACATGAAAGTTGGAAGTCGGTACAGCTTGCTAATTGCAAAACAGATTGGTTCTTATCAAGAGGTTAGTCGCACCTTACAAATTGCACACGTCTCAAGAAGACAGGAAACACTGCTCAGTTGAGAGAAATTGAAACGTTAGTGTTCAGCCGTTGTAAAGCTGTATGTGTGTTTGTGCAGTGTAATGGCAGAAGCCAGTATTTCAGTGGCTCGGGATCAGTTCAGCTGTTCAATCTGTTTGGATCTACTGAAGGATCCAGTGACGATCCCCTGTGGACACAGTTACTGTATGAGCTGCATTACAGACTGCTGGAATAAAGATGATCAGAAGAAAGTTTACAGCTGCCCTCAGTGCAGACAGACCTTCACTCCAAGACCTGTTTTAAACAAGAATGTGATGCTGGCTGAAATGGTGGACAACCTAAAGAAGGCAAAAGTCCAAACAGCTCGTCCTGCTCTCAGTTATGCTGAACCTGGAGATGTGGAGTGTGACGTCTGTACTGGAAGGAAATATAAAGCTGTCAAGTCCTGTCTCATGTGTTTGAACTCTTACTGTCAAAGTCACCTCGAACAACATGACAGTTTCTTTAAAGATAAAAAACACAATTTGATTAATGCCACTGTACGACTGCAGGAGATGATCTGCTCTCAACATGAAAGACTTCTGGAGGTTTACTGTCGCACTGACCAGAAATGTATTTGTTTACTGTGTATGATGGATGAACACAAAAATCACCACACTATTTCAATTAAAGCAGAGATGGCTGAGAAACAGGTAGGAGAAGCACATAGGCTATGAGTAAATGTATGTTCATGATGCAATATAGTAAGAGCTTACCCAAAAAAAATGCACGTCATATGAAAAGGAACCAGACAATTCGCCGGAAAAAGCAGCACAAACTTCAACGTACATATCTCTAGAACTGTAAAAGGATTAGTTTACACATAAATGAAAGTGATGTCATCATTTTTTCACCCAGTTTATTCATACCACATTCTTTCTTTCTTTCTTTCTTTCATGGAACACAGAAGGTGGATTGTTTTCCCCATATAGTGCAATGAATGAAGAATGAAGCTATCAAACTTCAAAAAGCACAAAAAGTATCATAACAATGGTCAATACAATATATATATATATTGTGTGTGTTACAATCTTCTTGAGCCATATGATAGCTTGTATGTAGAAAATACCAAAATATAAGTTGTTTCACTGATAATCTTCCTCTTCTCCAACAATCTGAATTGGATGAAAATTGCAAGAGCCATTACGTTTTGCCATTGAATGCCGTCAAAATAGTATTTTATATCCTGACCTGTACCAAAGGAGGATTGCTGATGTTTACTGTTATCTGTTACAGAAAGCCTTAGGTGACATTCAAAGAAAGTTCCAGCAGAGAATCCAGGAAAGAGAGAAGGAGCTTCAGGAGCTGAAAGAGGCTGTGAAGACACATCGGGTGAGTTTTAATTTTTAATGTGAAATGTTTCCAGTTCTGTCAGGACTTCAGTCATTACATCATTGAGAGGCCCAGTGTTGGGACACTTCCAGTCCCACTGAAGCCCATGAGTGAAAGATCTGCTTGTCTGTGTGTCCTAACAGAGCTCTGCACAGGCTGCAGTGGAGGATAGTGAGAGGATCTTTACTGAACTGATCTGCTCCATTAAGAAAAGCCAATCTGAGATGACACGGATGATCAGAGATCAGGAAAAAGCACAAGTGAGTCGAGTTGAAGGACTCTTAAAGCGACTGGAGCAGGAGATTGATGATCTGAGGAGGAGAGAAGCTGAGCTGAAGCAGCTTTCACACACTGACAATCACATCCATTTCCTTCAGGTAACTGAGATATGAAAAACGTGAACTTTAGGATGATATTACTACAGGGAGGTTATTAAAACATAACCTTTAATTGACCCTAAATGGCATAACCTTTAAAACCTAAACTGAAGTATTAGGTTGTAAGCAGAAAGCAGTTGTTATTTTGACAGGAATGGTGTCATGAATGATTTAAGTTGTGTGTTGTGTATGTACACCCACCTAAAGGATTATTAGGAACACCTGTTCAATTTCTCATTAATGCAATTATCTAATCAACCAATCACATGGCAGTTGCTTCAATGCATTTAGGGGTGTGGTCCTGGTCAAGACAATCTCCTGAACTCCAAACTGAATGTCAGAATGGGAAAGAAAGGTGATTTAAGCAATTTTCAGCGTGGCATGGTTGTTGGTGCCAGACGGGTCGGTCTCAGTATTTCACAATCTGCTCAGTTACTGGGATTTTCACGCATAACCATTTCTAGGGTTTACAAAGAATGGTGTGAAAAGGGAAAAACATCCAGTATGCAGCAGTCCTGTGGGCGAAAATGCCTTGTTGATGCTAGAGGTCAGAGGAGAATGGGCCGACTGATTCAAGCTGATAGAAGAGCAACTTTGACTGAAATATACGGTGGCCGAGAGAGCTCAACGCGCTGCAACTGAAGAAAACGCATGCAAATAGAAGAAAACACATGCAAATAGAAAAAAACGCATGCAAATAGAAAAAAACAAATTAAGAAAACATCTTCATCAGTTTCACAACACACGTGTGCTCCAAATAAGTGACGAACCCGGCTGGGACGTGCCGGCATAGATATCCATTAATCTATGCGTGCTGGTGCTTACTGCTTAAAATTATACTTTATTTATTTGTTTATTTATTTATTTGTTTGTGCAAAACATACAGAGATTAATTTTTTTTATGACATACAACTTGTATACAATGTACAAAATGTATTAAGTTCAATGTCATCAGAATACAAATGAGAAAAGAACAATGAGCTGGAAACTAAAATAAATAAATAAAAAAGATAAAGAAGAAAAACATGAAGGAAAGATATTTATCTATAGATCAGTTCCACTGTACAAATTGTTTCATGTTATTACATTTTCATAAAGAAAAGTTTCGTAAGAAATGTTAGGTAATGTAGGGTCCAAAATTTTAAAGTTGAGACACAGATATATAACGCATATTTTAAAAGCTTTTTTTGTAAAATAAAAATAAAAATGTATTTGCATCCGTTATGTTAACAGCATCATATTTCTGTCGTAAGACCAGCTGATGGACACCGTGCTGCGTTGTCATGGGGACATCCCAGGTGAAAATAATGAGGAAATTACGTTGTCTTTCGTTGCTCCTTCATCAAGTGCGTTCCACACGGCTGCCTAACAGCCCACTAGAGCCTTGCTCACTCCAAAAGGGCTCTGCAATCTGCCCTTCGAAGGGAGTATGGCATAGGGAAGCACACGAGCAATAAGCACGTCTCGGCCGGGTTCGTCACTTATTTGGTTCCCCTGGAAACATTTCCGTTGTGGTCTGTGTTATTTGCAGCGCGTTTTCTGTATTTGGTTGTGTTGTGAACTTTTGCAGCGCGTTTCCTTATTTGGAGCACACGTGTGTTGTGAAACTGATTAAGATGTTTTTTTTAATTTGCAGGTGTTTTTTTTCTATTTGCACGCATGTTTTTCTATTTGCATGTGTTTTTTTCTATTTGCATGCGTTTTTTTCTATTTGCATGTGTTTGCTTCAGTTGCAGCGCGTTGAGCTGTCTCGGCCACCATAGAAATAACCACTCGTTACAACCGAGGTATGCAGCAAAGCATTTGTGAAGCCACAACACGCACAACCTTGAGGCGGATGGGCTACAACAGCAGAAGACCCCACCGGGTACCACTCATCTCCACTACAAATAGGAAAAAGAGGCTACAATTTGCAAGAGCTCACCAAAATTGGACAGTTGAAGACTGGAAAAATGTTGCCTGGTCTGATGAGTCTCGATTTCTGTTGAGACATTCAGATGGTAGAGTCAGAATTTGGCGTAAACAGAATGAGAACATGGATCCATCATGCCTTGTTACCACTGTGCAGGCTGGTGGTGGTAGTGTAATGGTGTGGGGGATGTTTTCTGGGCACACTTTAGGCCCCTTAGTGCCAAGTGGGCATCGTTTAAATAGCACGGCCTACCTGAGCATTGTTTCTGACCATGTCCATCCCTTTATGGGCACCATGTACCCATCCTCTGATGGCTACTTCCAGCAGGATAATGCACCATGTCACAAAGCTCGAATCATTTCAAATTGGTTTCTTGAACATGACAATGAGTTCACTTTACTAAAATGGCCCCCACAGTCACCAGATCTCAACCCAATAGAGCATCTTTGGGATGTGGTGGAACGGGAGCTTCGTGCCCTGGATGTGCATCCCACAAATCTCCATCAACTGCAAGATGCTATCCTATCAATATGGGCCAACATTTCTAAAGAATGCTTTCAGCACCTTGTTGAATCAATGCCACGTAGAATTAAAGCAGTTCTGAAGGCAAAAGGGGGTCAAACACCGCATTAGTATGGTGTTCCTAATAATCCTTTTAGGTGAGTGTATGATCTCTCTGAACAGAGAAGCTGTCAGACTCTCATTTAAACAATTTTTAAAAAGTTAATGAACACTGGAAAGCTTTACTTATTCAATTCTGTTATCGTTTTGTCCATTTGTAGAGTTTCCAGTCTCTCCCTGTTCCTCCTGCATCCACAAACAGCATCAATATCAGTTCTCTCCTCTCTTATGATGATGTAGGAAAATCTGTGTCTACGCTAAGAGAGAAACTTGAGGACCTCTGCAATGAGGACATAAAACAGATATCTGGTAGAGGTAAAGTACTTGGAATTTGTTCACTTTAAAGGAGTAATGTATCGTATAAGAACTACAAGAACAAACTGAGAGACCATTATTAATGGGACTTATTTAATATTGTGTTTACATGTGAATTACACTATATGTCTTTTGGTTTCATTAGTGACATACTTTGAGATCGTCACCACCATTGAACCCAGGTCCAGAGATGACTTCTTGCAATGTAAGTGTTAATAATAAAAATACACATACTGTCAGACATTTATGGATTCTCAAGAAGTATAAATCCGTTGTTAGTCTAAATTTTATTTATCATCTGCATCTAATTTTCTAGCACACAACACCATTGTACTTGTGCAACTTTGTTCAGTGTAATTTTTTGGCCCATTCAGATTCCTGTGAGCTCACACTGGATTCGAACACTGCACATAAATACCTCCGTCTTTCTGAAGGCAACAGAGTGGCTACTTTTATTGGGGCTGACCAGCTGTACCCTATTCATCCGGACAGATTTCATGTTTTTTCTCAGGTGTTGTGTAGAGAGAGTGTGTGTGGACGCTGTTACTGGGAGGTCGAGTGGAGTGGAGGTATGGGAATATCAGTGTCATATAAGAGCATCAACAGGAAGGGAGATGGTGAAGATTGTGTCTTTGGATTTAATGATCAGTCCTGGAGATTGTCCTGCTCTGGCTCCAGGTATGCATTCAGACACAATCAGAAAGAAATTAAACTCCCTGTAGTCTCCAGCTCCTTTAGAATAGGAGTGTATGTGGATCACAGTGCAGGAATTCTTTCCTTCTACAGTGTCTCTGACACAATGGCCCTCATCCACAGAGTCCAGACCATATTCACTCAGCCGCTCTATCCGGGGTTTGGGATCAATTTAGGATCAACACTGAAACTGTCATCTTAAGAGAGTCATATTACAGATCATAATAAAAGGGATGGGTATATGTAGTTAGCAGTGTCCTCTCTCCCATCATTCCAGTGACAATCCTACAGTTGAATCCGGACACTGATTTACCACAAAATGTACAGGTAAATCTGTGTCTGATGCCAATCAATCGATAAATGAAAACTGCCCTATGGATCTATTGAAGGATCCAGTGACCGTCCCCTGTGAACACCATAACTGTACACTGCATTACAGACTACTGGAAACCCCAAGAGTTATTTTCTTTAATTATTATTAATGAATTATAAATGGATTGCTTTCCTGCTAATATCCACAACTACAGTATGTACTTCAAATCACTGAACTATTATTTTTTTTAAATATCTGCGATTAACTCAGATGTCTTTAGAATTTGTTAAATAAAATTAAACTAGGCTACTGCTGAAAACAGACCTTGAAAATATTACAGTATTTTACAGAATGCTTTGACGAGATAAAATAGACTCTTGCGAAATTACTTTGATACCAAGGACATTGTTTTTCATTAAAACGTTATTTTATAAATGTCATCGACTGGGTTGCTGTAGTTGGCCAATCAGAAACAAGCACCAAAATGTTGCATAATGAAATGACTATAACAAAAACGAATAAAGTTAACTTAGCCTTGTCTAATAAAAAATATCAACACATATGATGATACTGTTGTATTGTTGTTGTTTTTTTTTCAAGATAATGAGATAACCACAAAAAGTGTTTTTTGAGTGTGTGTGTGTGTGTGTTTCTTTTTTACCATACAGTAGTTAAATGGATCATCATTTAAACAATTTTGTTGTTTTAATGTACGATTTTATATTCGATTACAAAAATAGTGACATTTCCTAGACCTAGGCTATGTAAATACTGGCACAGGCATTAAAAACACTGCGTTTGAGCGCCATCTACTGTTCCTTTTTGGCTGTGTATTTTCACAAACTGGTGAGCTACTTTCAATTTCTCAAACGCAGAAGGTAATCAGATAGATAGAACGATTTGGTATCAGATAGATAGAAACCTAAGGACTTATTGTAAGCTATATAAAAATTATACATGCAGTGTAAAATTGGAAGTGAATATTTAAGTGGCCCAGCTGTTTGTGTATCTGCTGATTCTTGTATTGAATCAAGGTTGCTACATAAGTAGGCCTACCCTATATTTATACTAAGCTAATTGCAACGCAAGCGAATGATCTGAGAAAAACAGTCAGACTCCCATGTCCTTTATGATCAAAAGGTGATTCACGCCATACAAACACACCTCTTTTGCACACGTCTCGAGACAGGAAACACTGGTCAGTTGAGAGAAATTGAAACTTAAGTGTTGTTCAGCCGTTGTCTGGCTGTATCCTGTGTTCGTGCAGTGTAATGGCAGAAGCCAGTATTTCAGTGGCTGAAGAAGACCAGTTCAGCTGTTCAATCTGTCTGGATCCACTGAAGGATCCAGTGACGATCCCCTGCGGACACAGTTACTGTATGAGCTGCATTACAGACTGCTGGAATAAAGATGATCAGGAGGGAGTTTACAGCTGCCCTCAGTGCAGACAGACCTTCACTCCAAGACCTGCTTTAAACAAGAATGTGATGCTGGCTGAAATGGTGGAAACACTGAAGACAAAAGTCCAAACAGCTCGTCCTCCTCTCAGTTATGCTGGACCTGGAGATGTGGAGTGTGACGTCTGTACTGGAAGGAAACGCAAAGCTGTAAAGTCCTGTATGATGTGTCTGGAATCATACTGTCAAAGTCACTTTGAGTGTCATGAAGAATCTCGTTCAAGGAAACGACACAAAGTGACTGATGCCACTGGACGACTGCAGGAGATGATCTGCTCTAAACACGACAGACTGATGGAGGTTTACTGTCGTACTGACCAGCGATCTATTTGTTTGATGTGTGTGGTGGATGAACACAAAAATCACGATACTGTTTCAGCTAAACAAGAGAGAAAAGAGAAACAGGTATAAACTGAAATTGCATATAACTTGTGTCTGCTGTTAAGCTAAATCTAATAAATTTAATTTGTAATCATAAAATTGCGTTATATCGCCTAGGGCCTAGGCCTATTAGTATTGTTTATCATTGAAAATTATTATTAGCATCCAGACATGTTCACAAGTCCCTGCAAAGTCTCAAGTTTTTGTTCTATTTCAAGCAATAGTTATTTCAGCTAAATATATAATTAGCAGTGTATGAGGCTAAACCAATTTTGAAATTTTGCTAAACAAATATTAAAATCAATTAATTCTACAGAAGGTCTTGTTCATTTATTTAAAATTTATGAAGGCTATTACTTAAAATCGACATTACATCATTTGGAACGATAAGACAGTCACCACGAGAAAAATAAAAGTGGTATGTATTTTGAGCTATTTGACTTGCTGCTTGCTGTTGTTCTCAACCAATAGGTAGCCTACTAGCCTTTGTCTTACAGTGAGCGCCAGTGGTAACAAAACCCCCGTGTATAGACAAGCATTAAAGTAAACAACACAAAAAATAACATTCCCATTGTTAAGTCGATTAAATAACACACCCCGACTCAACAAACCGATCTGCATATGGAAGTGTCCGTCCATTAGGTTACACGCACAGCTTTTACTGGCCTACGTCTGTTACACTCACCCCACTAAACCTCACTCCCACCCTGGTCACGGCACCAAAAGTAACCACTACTCACACCGCTCCAAGCAGGATTCAAACTGGGGTCTCCGACAGGCATGCTAACTGCAGCTCTTTCTGGCCTTCTACTGTTACACAGATGGTAAACTTGGATATTCTGTGCATAGCCTATGGTAGCAAATACATTTAAAAAAAAAACATGAAAAGGTATAACAAAATTAAAAAAAATTAAAAGGACATTGAAACGTGTAGCCTACTTCCTGAAAATCGACAGCAAGTCTCTGACAGATGTGCAACCACAGCTTCTCTTTTAAGTAATTGATTGTTTTTCAAATTAAATGACATGAAGATTATCACATGTTAAGACCGTTAGCCTAAGACTTGACTATACTGTTATTGCCATTGTTCATTTATAACAGCACTTTTACAATGGGTGATTAACACACACACACACACACACACACACACACACACACACACACACACACACACACACACACACACACACACACACACACACACACCTAATGCTGGCTTTTAAATTGTGGTGTTTCATGCGACAAGACCAGAGAACGAAATCGTGAATCAAGTCGCAGACTCGAGTTTCCATCTCTGTTTGTAGCCATAGTATAGTATTTTATTAGAACTTTAGCTCTGGCTCTGGGTCATTTGCCGTGTGTTTATTTTTCTTTCTTTTTGTGAAGTCTTTATCAGAACAATGGAAAGGTGAACAAATGTAATTGTTTCATACAAATATTTAATGATACAGATAAATTCCAGTAAAAAAATATCTAGATGTAGTACATAAAATCTTTAAAGCCTTATTGAGAGAAAACTGAAGTTTTCTAATGTTTACAATTATTTGTTCATCCTCACAGAAACGGGTTGAAGAGACAGTAATAATATTACAGAAGAGAATTCAGGAGAGGCAAACGAAGCTCCAGGAGCTCAGAGAGTCTGTGCAGACTCACAAGGTGAGTTTTGAAGAGGAGAAAAATAACTGTCAGATTGAACGGACTGATTCTAGTGGTTCTCTGTGTGTGTCCTTACAGCGCTCTGCACAGGCTGCAGTGGAGGACAGTGAGAGGATCTATACTGAACTGATCCGCTCCATTAAGAAAAGCCGATCTGAGGTGACACGGATGATCAGAGATCAGGAAAAGGATGCAGTGAGTCGAGCTGAAGGACTCTTGAAGCGACTGGAGCAGGACATTGTCGATCTGAGGAGGAGAGAAGCTGAGCTGAAGCAGCTTTCACACACAGATCATCACATCCATTTCCTTCAGGTTTAGAATGATTTTATTATTACGGCTTATTACAGCAGACTCTTTAATTGTCTTTTTATTTGAGTTGAATAATCACATTCATTTAATGAATCTGAGAACAACTGCCAGTCGTTCTGATCAGTGTGAATGTTGTCAAGATTGTATTAGATCAGGTATTCCCAAACTTTTCTGTCAGCTGAACCCCCGTAACTTAAATATTGACTTGAAGACTTACAATACAATACAATGAAATATTTATTTATAAAGCACATTTAAAAACAACCAAGGCTGACCAGACCTGTACAGAACAGAAAAAATAAATAAAAATGAAACAACCAATAAAGAAACACAAAACAACAGATAAACAATAATCGGACCTAAATCAAGGAGTATTAAAAGCCAAAGAAAATAAGATTTGAAGGTGAAAACAGAGGGAGCTAATCTAATGTAGAGAGGTAGACTGTTCCAAAGTTTTGGGCCTGCAGTCGCAAAAGCGTGATCGCCTCGTTTTTTAAGTCTAGATCTGTAATATTCAAGTTTGAATATCGATTTGTAATTCCCATATATGTTAGGGAGTTCCTGAATATATGCTCTAGGGGGCAGTGGGTGAAATATGTGTAAAGAAAAGCTAGGAGGTGAATAAAAGAGGAGACCCGCATGTGAAAATGATCTGAGACTCTGGTCGTTTTTTGACTAAATAATACATGGTGTCAGAGTGAATCGCGAAGATGGATGCTGTCGGAGTGCCTGCACCGCGAATGGATTGGGAGTCACAGAATCTTCCCGATGCATGGAGAAAGTTTAAACAGCACGTTGAACTGATGTTTTCGGGGCCGTTTCGCCGCAAGGAGGAGACGGAGAAATGCAGCTACCTGCTCTTATGGATTGGAGAGAAAGGACGGGATATCTATAACACATGGACTCTCACTGAGGATGAAGCTAAGTTGCTCAAAACTTACTACGACAAATTTGAAGCTTACGTAGTACCAAAGGCGAACCTAATTTTTGCCAGATACAAGTTTAATGAGAAAACGCAGTGCGCCACGGAAACATTTGATCAGTTCGTCACTGAACTCAGACTGCTCGTTAAAGATTGTGGCTACACTAATCCAGATGAGATGGTGAGAGACCGTGTCGTTTTCGGCATTTATTCCCCACATGTTCGGGAGAAATTACTCAATCAGGGTGCTGAACTAACATTAGAAAAAGCAATCGACACTGCCAGATCGCATGAGATTGCGCAGGCGCAGATGAAAAGTATGGCCACCGGCAGCATAAATGCAGAGCACGCGCAACAAGTGCACACTATAGGAAAGCATGCAAAAACGCGTCAGAGCTTTCAGAAAAACACAAAAAACAACAATGTGAACATAGAACGCCTCCAAATATGTGGATACTGCGGTAAAGAACACAAAAGGAGAGAGACATGCCCAGCAAAGGGAAAGCAGTGTGCGAAATGTGGAAAGTATAACCATTTTGCAAAGGTTTGCAAGTCAAAACCGAAATCTGTGCACTGTGTAAGTGAAAACAAACATGAAGATGCATACCCAGACGTGAGTAGTGAATTCTTTATTGACTGTGTCACAAATGCAAACACATTTACTTCATCAGAGCAAGCTTTTGCTGAGATTGAAATAAGAGAATACGGTTTGCCATTGAAATTCAAACTGGACACGGGTGCTCAGGTTAATGTAATACCTCAAAGAGACTTCAAAAAATTTGCACTAAAAACAAAGATGCAGCAAACTCACAAAAAGCTCACAGGATACGGTGGACAGCAATTGTCAGTTAAAGGCACCTGCCAGCTAGCCTGGCTCCGCCCTCCTACGCACTTCCGCTCAATTTTATTTTCCTTCAGTACTACGTCTGGGATTGTGCTGTAGACTTTGGTTTCCAGAAATAATTTTTTTACCGGTCCAATCAGCGAACAGAGGGAGTGGCTGAGAACGATGACGTTGATGTAGCGCGTCAGTTTGAGTTGGAGTTCAGTAATGGCAGCGGAGAAAGACGTGAGAAAATCTATTCGGTCCGTTGTTGCAAAACTGCCGAATATCCAGAAGTTAAAGCCCGAGCAAGATCAATGTTTGCTAAGTGTTGTTGGTGGCCATGATTCGGGAAAAGTTTAATTTTCCAGCTCACTCCGCTAGTGGTGAATGAGTTAGCTAAGGCGAACGATAGGATGCAAAGCCGATAGTTGTTGTCGTCTCCTCTTGTTGCACTAATGGAGGACCAAGTGAGGGAGGCAGAAAGGTTAGGAGTTGGTGCTGGGCAGCTCGGCGTGCACGATGATCACTGTAACGTTACAGCATTTGCGGCAGATCCGAAACGACCGCAGCGGCGTATTGTTAATGATTACACCCAGCTTCGACAGTTGATTGAATACATCACTGTCATTAGTGTCAAATATACATTTAGAATTTAGAATTGTTCCTTGAACTCTTAAATTCGATGAACAAAACATGCAGCTCTCGTTGACAGACATCTTATTCTAAACATAATCCTCTGATCATTCGGACTTGTTTTTTTTTATTGCTTAAAACAATACACAAGTAATAACAGAAAACATAATACAAAAACAAACAAAAAATAATAATAAAAACAAAACAAAAATAAAACAGTAGGGGGATAATATAAAATAAACATGAACAAGTTAAGAGAATTACATGACACTGAAAAAAAGGAAAATAATTACAAACAGATCATGTTTTTAAGGCTTTTTTTGTTCTCAGACAACTTAATTGAAAAGAGGTATTTTTAAAATTCTTTCACAAATATAAGAAAGAGAGGTTTAGCATTTAGATATTTAGATTTATGAATATGGAATTCGGACTTGTTCTTTCCAGCCGGTTTCGGCGCATGACATACGTCACGACCACACGTTAGCGATTGGCTATGGCAGATCCTGAGTGACGCTGGGCAGATCCAATAGTTTTGAACTTTAACAGAGAACCCGCCTACAAGGAAGTAAACGTTTCTCAATGGAGCGAGGCCAGACTCTCTGTACAAATGAAATGTACGAGAGTCTGGTAGAACCAGGCTACCTGCCAGCTACACTGCAAATATAAAGAGAATGCCATGCCACTAGACTTCTTCATTGTGGACACCCAGTCACCACCCGTGCTTGGATTAAAAGCATGTTTGGACTTAGACATGATTAAGCTGGTGCTGTCTGTATCCTCCCCAGAAAAAGAGTCTGAGTCGATTGTAGATGAATTTACTGATGTGTTTACAGGCATTGGTCTATTTCCTGGGGAAAGCAACATTCAGTTGGACCCAACAGCCACACCCGTCATTCACCCACCGAGGAGAGTTCCTTTCGCCCTGCGAGATCGGCTGAAAGAGGAGCTGGACTCCATGGAGGAGCAAAATATCATTGTGAAAGAGACAGAGCCGACAGATTGGGTAAATGCCCTGTGCGTGGTCGAAAAGCCCAAAACTGGTAAGCTGAGAGTCTGTCTGGATCCACGTGATCTTAATAAGGCTATAAAGCGACCACACTATCCTATGCCTACGCTAGATGACATCACACCAAAGCTGTCAGGAGCCCGTTACTTCAGTGTAATGGATGCTAGATCCGGCTACTGGGCAATCAAGCTTTCTGAACAAGCCTCGAAACTGACCACTTTCAATACGATATTCGGTAGATATCGATTTCTTCGCCTACCCTTCGGCATTGTCTCAGCCCAGGACATTTTTCAACAGAAAATAGATGAGATTTATGAAGGTCTGCCTGGGGTTGTGGCCATCGTGGATGATATCTTGGTCTACGGAAAAACAAAAGAAGAACATGATCATAATCTCAGGAGGATGCTGGAAAGGTCCAGAGAAAAAGGGGTACGCCTTAATCCTGAGAAAAGAACTGTGTGTGTCCCGGAAGTCAGCTACTTTGGCCACCGTCTTTCCAAAGATGGAATCAAACCGGACCCTCACAAGGTGGAAGCCGTAAAAGAGATGTCTCCACCTAAGAATCGTGCTGAACTAGAAACAATTCTGGGAATGGTCAATTATCTTTCAAAATTTGCACCAGATCTTTCAGACATAAATGCACCTCGGAGACAGCTACTGCGGCAGGATCATGAGTTCGTATGGGACAAGCAACATGACGCAGCGTTCCAAAGGATGAAAGACATCATTACCAGGGAACCAGGACCTGTGTTGTCATTTTTCGACACAAGCAAAGACCTCACACTGCAAGTGGATGCCTCCAAATATGGACTAGGTGCAGTGTTGCTGCAGGAAGGTAAACCACTTGCATATGCCTCAAAGTCACTCACGGACTCAGAGATAAGATACGCTCAAATAGAGAAAGAACTCCTGGCCATCCTCTGGGGTTGCAAAAGATTTCATCAATATGTCTATGGACGGCACATAACAGTGGAATCCGATCATAAACCCCTTGAATGGATCATCAGAAAGCCATTAGCTGCAGCACCACCAAGACTGCAAAGGATGATCTGGCAACTGCAAAAGTACAATTTCACCATCGTACACATTCCTGGGAAAAATATTCCAGTGGCCGACACGCTGTCAAGGAAATCGTTGCCCAGCGCCGATCACCGCCTTAGTGAGGAGATGGATGTGCAAGTGCATACCGTACTCAGCGCTCTCCCTGTCAGTGATGCGAAGCTCAGAAATATTCAAGAAAAAACTGAAGGAGATGTCCAAATGTCCACGCTAAAGAAAGTGATCAAAGAAGGATGGCCTGCTGAAAGAAAGCAATGCCCTACAGCCATTCTAGAATACTGGAATCATAGGGACGAGTTATCTGAGATGGGCGGCATGGTCTTCAAGGGAGAAAAGATTGTAATTCCCATGCAGCTGAGAGAAGAGATGCTTAAACGCATTCATGCAGGCCACATGGGAATCGAGAAATCCAAACAACGCGCTAGGGACATTCTTTTCTGGCCAGGCATGTCCAAACAGATCGCCTGCATGGTCGAACAGTGCTCCATTTGTCTTGAGCGTCGTATGTCAAATGCAAAAGAGCCTCTCATTTCCCATCCTATACCAAACCGGCCATGGCAGATTGTCAGTACGGATCTACTCACTTGGAATAGTGACGACTACATAGTGGTGGTAGATTACTATAGCCGATACTTTGATTTGGAAAAGCTCAAGAGCACCACAGCTGCTGCAGTGATCAGGAAACTGAAAAAAGTATTTGCAGCACATGGGATTCCTGAAAAGGTCATCTCAGACAATGGGCCTCAATTCAGCTCAAAAGAGTTTGAAAACTTTGCTCGAACATGGGACTTTGTGCATGTCACAAGTAGTCCGCATTACCCACAGAGCAATGGGCTCAGTGAGAAGGCAGTGCAGATTGCCAAATCACTAATGGATAAAGCAAAAGCGGACAAGAAAGACCCATATATCAGTCTGTTGGAGTACAGGAACACCCCAGTGGATGGTTTCAGATCACCTGCCCAACTACTGATGAGCAGAAGACTACGCTCCATTTTACCAACTACCAGCCAACAGTTGCAACCTGAAACTGTCAGTGGAAATGATGTTCATGCAAGGCGTGAGCAAAAGCAACAACATCAAGCAAAGTACTACAACAGGTCAGCAAAACCACTCACGCCACTAGGGGATGGGGACCACGTCCGAATTCAGGAGTCGGGTAAATGGAAGCCTGCTGTAGTCATTAAACCTGCTGACACCTACAGGTCTTATCATGTGAGTACTGCAGGAGGCCAAATTTTCCGCAGGAATCGTCGTCACCTTTTGCCAGATAGAGCACAGCCTACCACTGCCGAGCCTGGAATGTCTTCGAGCATTCAGCACACAGTGCCCATGGATCAACCTCAGCAGACAGACACAAAGAAAACTGACTCTGTTGCTCCACTTTACGTTACCAGATCCGGACGTGAAGTGAAACCAAGAGCCGTCCTTGATCTTTAACTGTGAAGGGTGTAGGCGGATCGCTGCCCTATATAAAAAATAATAATTTGTCATTATTGTTGATATAATTATGTTGTTTACTTTTCGTTCTTTATGTTGGTTGTTGCACTTATGTTATATAGTTGCACAGTTGACACATTGTGTTTATTGACATAGTATGCCAAGCTCTCAAAGAAAGGGGATGTAATATTCAAGTTTGAATATCGATTTGTAATTCCCATATATGTTAGGGAGTTCCTGAATATATGCTCTAGGGGGCAGTGGGTGAAATATGTGTAAAGAAAAGCTAGGAGGTGAATAAAAGAGGAGACCCGCATGTGAAAATGATCTGAGACTCTGGTCGTTTTTTGACTAAATAATACAAGATCTAGGCACAATGAGTAGACGGTGATCACTAGAGTTCTAGAGGGAGTTTACGGACAGAGTAGATCGGTCAGGTACTGAGGGGCCAATTTGTTGAGGGCTTTATAAACAACTACAATTTTAAAATCAATTCTAAATTGGACAGGTAGCCAGTGCAGGGTGGATAAAATAGGAGTGATCGATTTATACTTGCGGGTCCCAGTGAGGAGTCTAGCAGCTGCGTTTTGCACTAGCTGTAGACGGGAGAGGAAAGACTGAGAGATTACAATAGTCTAGACGAGTTGTTACAAAAGCATGATGAATCACTGTTTGGAAGTCACTCTGGGTTAAAAAAGATTTCACTTTAGAGAGTTGCCAAAGATAAAAAAAAAAGCCTGATTTTACAACAGTACTGATCCGTTTATTTATGAAAAATGGAAGCCAGAGGTAGCATGTAAAGGGTAAACAATACCGGCCCGAGGATTGATCCCTGTGGGACTCCACAGTTTAGAGGTACACTAGAGGAGGACTGATGACCAATACGAAAACTAAAACAACTGTTGGTCAGATAAGAACGAAACCACTGTAAGACTACGCCACGAAAGCCCACAGATATCTCCAGACGTCTCAACGGGACCTCATGGTCGACTAAATCAAATGCAGCACTCAGATCTAATAAAACTAAAGCCATGGATTTCCCAGAATCAGTTTCTATGACAATATAGCTTGAAACTCTTAAAAGGGCAAATTCAGTACTGTGTGAAGCTTTAAAACCAGATTGAAACGTTTCATGGAGAGAATTTACAGCCAAGTATGATTGTAATTGAGTCAGTGCAACTCTTTCAAGAATCTTTGAAATAGAAGGTAGATTAGAAATAGGATGGAAGTTAGAAAAAGAGGAAGGATCCAAATTTGTTTTAATAAGATATGGCCTCACCACAGCAACTTTAAGACTGTTAGGGAAGGAACCAATAGACAAGCATTTTGTTACAGGCCAGGACTAACTGTGTCCATAATTTGTCTCAGGTAAAAAGGTGGAATAATATCCTGAGGAAAGATAGTAGGTTTTAGGTGATCTACTTTCAATCAGTCCAGATCAATCAGCTCACTCAGACCAGATGGAAGAACATAATGGAACATCATGCATAGTATATACGGAGTTAGACAACTGAGATCTTAAGTTGGTGATCAGTTTAAAAACTTGAAGGTTTTAAGTTAATATTTCAATAATTTAAAAGCATAATCACATGTCCATCATCTCTGTGTCTGTTGATGGTCACATGACATGCAAGTAAGCAAATAAAATACTTAATCTTTACACTGTGTGATTCATATTTACCTGTATGTCTGTTGTCTTTTTCCATATGTAGAGATTCCAGTCTGTTTCCGTCCCTCCTGCATCTACAGACTGCACCACTGTCCCTTCTGTCTGGACTTATGATGATGCGAGAAGATCTGTATCTCTGTTAAGAAGTAAATTTGAGAATTTCTGCAAAGAGGAGATAGAAAAGTTATCTGGTAAAGTACAGACTCATCTCATAAAGCAGAGTACGACAAAATGTACAAATAAATATTGTGTAGATGTCAATAAAAAAAAATTAATAACAATAAATAGTTGTTAATAATAATTAATACATTATTGTTATTAAATAAATACATATTATGGATACTTTTATCAGCAGAAATCACACTTCAAATATCTGTTTGTTTCACTTTAAATATCTGTTTGTTTCTGTAGCGAAATACATAAAAATCACTGAACCCAGAACAAGGGAGGACTTCTTACACTGTAAGTGTTATAAATATTAATACAACTAAAACAAACACAGGCTAATATAAATACTTAAAGGTGAAGTGTTTAACTTTAATTTCTGTCAAAAAATTACAATTTACACTTTTTAACTAAACATCTAATCAAATCATTTTACTTGAAAAACTTGTGGAATACATCGGTGATCTTGTTTCTACATTTATATCTTTGATTGTTGTCTCACTTAATGCTTTGAAGGTATTTCAACAAATGCAATCTGTGTTTAATTTCCATCAGATTCCCATCAGTTTACTCTGGATTCTGAGTCAGTGCATAAACGCCTCTGTCTGTCTGAGGAAAACAGAATGGCTACTTGCGCTGCCACAATACAACTGTATCCTGATCATCCGGACAGATTTGATGTTTGGCCTCAGGTGTTGTGTAGAGAGAGTGTGTGTGGACGCTGTTACTGGGAGGTGGAGTGGAGTGGGGGTGCGGTGGGACTATCAGTTTCATATAAGAGCATCAGCAGGAAAGGACGGGGTGATGAGTGTAAATTTGGAGGTAACAATCAGTCCTGGAGATTATTTTGCTTTCGCTCTGGATACATATTTAGTCACAATAACAACAAGTCTGGACTCCCTGTAGTCTCCAGCTCCTCTAGAATAGGAGTGTATGTGGATCACAGTGCAGGAATTCTGTCCTTCTACAGCGTCTCTGACACAATGACTCTCATCCACAGAGTCCAGACCACATTCACTCAGCCGCTCTATCCGGGGTTTGGTGTAAATCAGAAATCATCAGTGAAACTGTGCCATCTAGAAGTATAGATAATATCAAAATCATATGGCAGTTAGTCTCTTATCAAGTCAGTTAATTGATTGTTGTGTACATATTAATTTGTAGTGTAAAAAAATAATGACAATAACATTATATCAGTACCTGCTGTATTATTTTGCAGTTTTATTTTAACATTAAATATCACAAGTAACTTAAAGTCTCCATTTCACTTTAGCTTTATGAAAGATTTTAAATCATTCTCATTATAGGCTAGCCTACTTTTTCAATAAGATAGATGACTTTTCTACATTAGACAATACATATTCAAAAACAATTATGAGTGGGGGTGGTGTGGGAATATCAGTGTCATATAAGAGCATCAGCAGGAAGGGACGGGGTGATGATCATTGGATGTAATGATCAGTCCTGGAGATTGTTCAGCTCTTGCTCCAAATACCTATATTCATCGCTTGAGTTCGCCTGCAACTTTGGAAGCAATTTTGTTCTTAAAAAAAGCGATGGAGTTTACACATTTAATAAAAAATGCTTTAGTAATATTCCACAGTGTTTTATTGTCAAAATAGTTTTCTGTCAAAGTAAATGATAAATAGACACAATCTCATAAATGTTAAACATCTATGCCGTTTTAGCAATAACATCTTAATATAAATACATAAGAAAAATATAAAAACCCGTATAACACTTTTAAAGGCACGTTTATAATAACCTGATACACAGGTTTAATAACTGGTTAGCTTTAGTTTAATTGAAGCGATATTCGTCATACTTTTTACTCCAGTCCAGTGGATATTTCTCACAGTAGCCTAGTGTTCAATTGTGACGGAAAGCAACAAGTCATTCAGTCAGTTTACAAAGTATTTTTGAGAAGTTCTCCATTTCCTATGTCGTAGTCATCATCACACTCGAGACAGGGGCATTTGTTTTGGAGGGCACAAAACCAAACTTGCTGTGCCGGATCTCCACGTCAGTCCCGTGCTCGCGTCACTGTAAACTGACCCGCTCGTGCCTTTACTACCCCAACTGCAGCAGCAGCGCGTGCACAGGACTCGCCAAGAGTCCACTGTTTTACCGGACCAGGTCCACGCGCCTGACGTGATCCCGACCACAAGGCACATGAAGTATTTGAGCATTAACACGGCGTAATCAGGTTTCCCGGCTTTTTTCTCCGACGAGCAGTTACACGCGTGCGCTCTTTCCCACGCTTCACGGTTGTGCTGTTCGTAAACGTAACAAGCCACAATCACCATGGCAACGACCGTATACAGCACTGTAAACACCCCGATACGGACCATCAATCTTTCGAGTTTGTCCGTTTTCGTTCCTCCTTGTTTAATGACGCTCCGTATCCGAAACATAGACACGAAGCCCGCGAATAAAAATATCGTTCCGATAAAAAGATAAATCACCAGTGGCGCGAGCACGAATCCTCTTAGGTTATCCAAGTTCTGGTTGCCCACGTAGCAGATTCCCGCAACCGAGTCTCCGTCCACCGAACTCAGCGCGAGCACGGCGATAGATTTCACGCTCGGAATGATCCAAGCGGCCAAGTGAAAATACAGCGAGAATCGCGCGATTGCTTCATTTCCCCACTTCATTCCTGCCGCGAGGAACCACGTAAACGTCAGAATCACCCACCAGATGGCGCTCGCCATCCCAAAGAAATAGATGAGTAGAAACACAAGCGTGCAAAGCGCGGGACCCCTAGTTTCATAGTGGATAAGGTCCACCTCATGATCCTGGTTGCACGCGACCCTTTCGTGCCCCGCGATGAGTCTGATGATGTATCCCACGGACACGAACATATAGCAGGCGGACAGGAAAATAATCGGGCGCTCGGGGTATTTAAACCTCTCAATGTCAATAAGGAAAGTGGCAACGGTGGCGAACGTTGACAGGAAACACAAAACTGACCAAATCCCGATCCAAAATGTGGCAAAGGTCCTTTCCTCCTGAGAAAGATATGGGCTGTGGCACGGCATGGCGCAATTGGGGATCTGGCCCGTCTTGACCCAGTTATACAAGGGATGGCGGTCATTGCTCACGGTCACCATAGGCGCGCGACAGTGACACTCCGGTTCACATGAAGAAGATCCAGGACTGCTTTTATTTTTCCGTTTGTATGGCTTCCCCGGGCGGCTAGTTGGTTTTGCAGCAGCAGGTGATGCTGTAGCATCAGTTCTGTTGTAGTCCATGCACAGAGTGTTTAAATCCCCCTGCGCGGGTAGAAGATCGCACCTCATACGGTCCGGCCACGGGAAACCGTATTGCCTCATCAGCGGCGCGCAACCCGCTTTCGCCCGTTCGCACACACTCCTGCACGGCGGCAAAGGCTTCTTATAGTCCTCAAGGCAAATGGGCGTGTACAGACTGCAAAGAAAGAAGCGCAGGTCGGGGGAACACTGGATCTCCACGAGGGGCCAGAACTGGTGCACCTCAAGTCCGGCTTCATCCTGGGTGTCGTGGTTGAATTGGTTCGGCATGTAGGTGTAGTTATAGCCGATCCCTCTACACAATGGCACAGATATCTCCTGACAGACCGGCTCACGAGCACACACGGAGTTCCACAGCAGGGCGCAGAGCGCGAGGGGAATCCAGAAGGTACCCTGCACAGGCGAATCCATCCTCGGTCACTTCTAGGATGTCTTCCTGTCTTCTAGGATGGGCTTGCATGTGCGCAATGGTCGTCTGGTTACTTAATTCTAATAATAAAATGATAGCCTATAACTCAACACTGTAGAATAACATGCTGTGTCTACAAGCTGACATCAAGTGCAATACAGTAGGCTACTACGTTTGTTTTGACTGTCAAATAGTGGAGCGCGTGTCTATTTATACAAAGGACAGCCCCTTTATCTCAGCGCCCAATCATAGGACACCAGGGGCGGGGCGTAATTGTAATGTAATCAAGCATCCCCTGAGAATCTTAAAGTTTTGAGTAAATGTTTGCGCTGCCGACGGTTTGTATGTCTTAAATTATTTTACCTGTGTTTACATCCCACCCTGTGTCTAAACACGGGGTTTGTAGTTGTAAACAAGTCTCGCGGCATGTTTAGGTTGTTCCTATAATCTCTCCAGAATGTGTAGCCTATCCTCTAGAAAATGTAAGTAGCCTATTCCATACATGAGCTCACATGTCTACATTAATAAGATTTAAAAGGAGACTAAAAAGCAAGCGCTGTACCAACGAGACAAAATAGACACATACTGAACAATAAAATGTAGTTATCCCAGTACAATAACAATGCCAGAATTCATGCTGTGAATTCGCTATACCCTGAAAATGTACACCTATGCCACTTTTTAAATTATTCTTTGTCATTGAATTTGAAAACAAAGTACCAACCCCCAACTTTTCCACTTTATCAAATTATTTTCGGAAAAGTTTGAAAACGATTGTTGAGGAAATCGGGAAAATTAATTAATTTAAAATGTAGGCTATAATGCACAGTGACAATGTTGAGTTAGGCCTACATGAGAAAAACTTAAATTTGGCATGGAGAAGATTGCCCCTAAACATTTATGGACATGTTGATCATATCAGTCCAAGTAATTGTTGAAATATAGAATGAGGTTGAGGAGTTCATATAGCTGACACAATCAAAAGTCATTGAAGAAAATGGTTAGTTTAGTTCTAAAAACAAAAAAACCTGTAGCAGCATTTGTTTGCATATGTGACTTGCAATGAAACATTTTAAGTGTGACTTGAGCGTCCAAACACGTTTTGGGGCCACCGAACGCATTCAGACACGCGCGACTCCTCCAGAGAAGTTGAATGCGCGCGCGTGGGGAGTGAGGGCTGTCGCGCGCTGCGAGTTCTTGTTCGCCCTAATTGTGTTGTTGATGTTCCGTTTAGTGGCTCAGCGGGTGCGCGCAGCGGGGGACAATTACTGTACATCCTGGGACAAGCTGGGTGGGACAGACTGCGCATACAAACACACCTCGTTCATTCAAGTCTGTTTAATGTAAGTCCAAAACAAATGTAGTAATTATTTATTGATAGAGGAGGCAAGGACTGGTTTACTAAATTACACTCTATTTTTTTTTTTCTTCCATGCAGTGAATATTTCTCAGGGTCAGTTTATTTTGAAAGTAAATTTTTGCAAAGACACAAAACTTAAATTTGGTAACAAAAAAGAGAGAAACAATTTTTACCATATAGTGCAGCAGGGATTACATAATTTTGTAGGCCAACACTGAAGTTGCACTGCAAATGACACTGTATTCAATTTCTCTCCCTCTAAAATGTCTGGGACCATTGTTAATTTAAGAAATGACAATTCCTTTATTCACTCATCCATGTGTTGTGTACATAATGTAATTTACAATGTGAGCGAGAACTATGTGTTGTGTAAACATGTAGCCATTGATTAGCTGAACAAACAACACAATCTTATGGTAATTCATTATTTTATATTTTGGCGAATTGGTAATATGTATGAATTCCTACAAGGTAAACGTGATTTCACCAAGTGCAACACGTTCCTGGATCAAAATCTTTGTTGATCCTGCAACCTTCCAATCATCAAATCAGATTTGAGGGACAAGTTTATAATTTATGTCAAGATTGGTCTTACTAACAGGGTTAGGTGCTTCTATATCAGTGTTATTAACCATAATAGGGTATATGGATAGGGTAGGGACAACATTTTCAGACATGAATGTTGTTCCAGGATCAACAAAAATGTTGATCCAAGAACATGTCTTACTTCACGGTGACTAGACCTTCATGCTTACTTTTTTTTTTTTTAATTGCTTTTTCATATGATTCACATCCTAAGAATTCATATGTTATCGCCAGCTCATACAATAGTTGCGTTCTCCTGTAAGATTGGGTTGGAATTGCTCAGAAAAATACAAGCTCCAGGGGCCATAAATTTCACACACACACAAACTTTGGCTCAATTCCACATTGAACAGCAGTGATCCACTGTTATGTTTGCTCCTGTCTGAGTCTTCCTACATCTTCTCTGTCCCTTTCCTGCTTTCACCTTTCTCAAATGCATTCACCAGATTCCTCACCATGGCAACAAGCCTACCCAGACGGCACCTGGCAGTCTAGTCTGAGACACACTCTTATGGGTTTTCCAAACAGACAAATGCAATACATTGACATCTCCATCCTAATATGAGGGAGATATGTGTGTACTATATACATAACTCATACTTTTATTTGTCCTTTGCAGCTTGTCAGCCCCAGTCCATCTATATAATTTTTTTTTTATAGGCAAGGATATTTCTCTGGATATGCTTAAAAAAATAAACTTTTGTGTTCCACTGAAGAAAGTTATACCAGAATGACATGAGGGTGAAGAAATAATGGCAGTGAACAGAAATCCCACTTCACCTTTAACCAGTGTTTGTGCTGTGTTATGTTTGTCTCAGATGGGACACTTATTTTACACCTGCAGAACTGGAACTGAATCCAGACTACTGAACTCTGTGAACCATGTGCTCAATCCATCCTCGACCCACGAAAGCATGAGGGTCCACTCATGAAAGTCTGAAAAGAAGCATGATCAGCCTGTAAACATTGCAGTTGTAGCCCTTTAAGTCAAAAGAGAAAATTAGAGGCTGTGTTTGGAATGGAATTCTAACTGCTTATTGAATACTTTTTTAATAGTATTGTATGCTACATTGTTTTTGCATTTTAATCCAGACACACACACACTGTGAAGAACATTGGGGTCCAAAAAACCCCATTGACTTTCATTGCATGCACAAAAGAAACCTCTGATATATTTACATATGTCTTCTTGTGTTCTTGAAAGAATATTTTGGTGAACTATCCTTTTAATATACATAATATCAACAATCACAATACCAACCGATTTTTATCACATAATTTAACATCCCTTGATTGACATTATTATATTAAATAAAAAGAGACGATAAAAATCACAGCTGAAATTGTGGTGCATTTCTCCCACTTAACACATTGGAAATGGATTGTCAAATCGAGCCCATTGTATCATGGGATGTATTTCACAAAATGTGTTCTGATTGTATACTGCATTTTTTTGGCCAATGTAGTTGGAGATCCAGAAATTCTATGCAGGAAATCTGCATGATGATGTAAACAGCATATTGCCGAAATATGGTAGAACGCTTTTCTGAACATATCCAACGACCAATGTGATTTTCATCTGAAGAAATCAGAGGTTATTAAATCTGTGATTAATAGGTACAGTATTCATCACACAAATGACAGCAATGTGAATAATTGCATGTCAGTTGTATAGTAGTAAAATGATAAATGAGCTTAGACATGTTCAAAACATATATGCACATATGCTAAATGAATAATGTAGTCTAAATCTAAAATAAAAATAATTTAATAATTTAAAATAAAAAATTTAAATACCTTATAAATAAATGTTGCATTCACAGTTAATCTCTGAATGAGACATTGAGTGTGTGTGTGTGTGTGTGTGTGTCTTTGCCATTAAGTCTCTTGTATACAGTCCTCCACTTCATGTATTGCTCTTGTTTTTCTTTTGTGTATCTAGTGTTCTTTCCTTCCTCTCAATGGCTTTTCTTTTTCTATGCGTTTGTCCTGCCCTCCCCCAACTCTCTCTCTCTCTGTCATTCTTACGTATGTTTAGTTTGTCTTCTTCCATTCATCTGTGGCTTAAGACCTCTGCTCTCAGACTCCTCCAGGCACTCACGTCTCTCCTCCCCCTCTATTCTGTTTCGCCCTTTTCCTCATCCTGCTTTACACCTTCTTCATTCACTCCTTCCCCTCTCCTCTTGTCCTGGTCTCAAAGGACATAATTAGGCAGCATATTCAGACAGACACATTTATGTCTCCACAATAGCCTTCTCTCCATCCCTCGCTCTCTTTCTAAAGCCTGTTAAATGGCATAGAAAAAGAATCTGTGCATGCGTCTGCTTAATTAGAGCAATAAACATTCACTTCATTATTAACTCTTCCCAAGAGAAGAGTTCTATCTATCTATCTATCTATCTATCTATCTATCTATCTATCTATCTATCTATCTATCTATCTATCTATCTATCTATCTATCTATCTATCTATCTATCTATCTATCTATCTATCTATCTATCTATCTATCTATCTATCTATCTTTTTTGCCATCTGGTTCCATGAAGAACATTTACATCCACTTTCTATTGCACAAAAATGTAGTGGGAAGATTAGCTTATTAAATATAGATTATTAAATAATTTATATATTATTGAAATGTTCTGCACGCTAATAGTTCTTTTAAAAACTGTTTACTGATAGTTTTTTGGGGAAACAAAAATGGTTAATCTATATAATAAACTTTTATAGTGTATTTTTTTGGGCAATAGTTCACAATAAATTGGATATTGTGCACTGGTCTTTAAAATATAAAAATATGCAGGTGAAGCTGATGCTTAATGTTTGGACGCATCTCGTCCTTCATCACAATGGTTGATCAATACAGTATTTTTTTTTTTTTTTTTTTTATAGTTTTACATTTAAGTCTTATACATTTTTGTTACATACTTTATGGAAATGGAAAGTGAATTACATTGTGGGTTATAATACCCAATACAGTTTGCATTTCAGCAAATGTAGTCGACCATCGACCTTGACCTGAAAGAGGGCTATTGATTGCTCTGGATGTGGACTCATGAGAAATCATTTAGATTGACTGATTGATCTTTTTTCCCCTTTTGATTTATGTCAGTATATAATTTGGACATGCAGCTGAGTCACTTCCCTAATAATAATAATAAAAAAAAAAAACAGTAAAAAACTGCTCTAAAACTGGGTGGTAGAACAAGCTATAGGGAAAATGTGTTGATGCTGTTAAGTCTTTTTGCATAAAATCATCTGTCAAATGC